GAGGGGAGGGGAGGGGAAAGAAACTCAGAGCATCATGGGGCCCCCCAGCAGCCTAGGCCTATAGCAGCATAACTAAGGGAAGGCTCAGGGTCACCTGATCCAGCCCTAACTATAAGCTTTATCAAAAAGGAACGTCTTAAGTCTAATCTTAAAGGTAGAGAGGGTGTCTGCCTCCTGAACTGAGACTGGGAGTTGGTTCCATAGGAGAGGAGCTTGATAGCTAAAGGCTCTGCCTCTCATTCTGCTTCTGTGGACTCTAGGAACCACAAGTAGACCTGCACTCTGAGAGCGAAGTGCTCTGTTAGGATGATAAGGCTCTACGAGGTCTTTAAGATATGATGGAGCCTTGTCATTAAGGGCTTTGTATGTTAGGAGAAGGATTTTAAATTCTATTCTGACTTTTACAGGGAGCCAGTGGAGAGAAGCTAATATGTGAGAAATAAGATCTGTCTTGCTAGTTGCTGTTAGTACTCTGGCTGCAGCATTTTGGATTAACTGGAGGCTTTTTAGGGGATTATTGGGACATCCTGATAGTAAAGAGTTACAGTAGTCCAGCCTGGAAGTAACAAATGCATGGACCAGTTTTTCAGCATCACTTTGAGACAGGATGCTCCTGATTTTTGCAATATTGCGCAGGTGAAAGAAGGCAGATCTAGAGACTTGGTTTATGTATGATTTAAATGACATATTCTGATCAAAGATGACTCCAAGGTTCCTCACAGTTGTACTGGAGGCAAGAGCTATGTCATCTAAAGTAACTATATGATTAGACAGCAGATTTCTAAGGTTTTCAGGCCCAAGCACAATGACTTCAGTTTTGTCAATAACGTCAGTTTTATCAGAGATCCAAATTCATGTTTTTAATTCTAATAGTTTTTACAATGAATCTTTTGTTCCTCATACAACATTTTATCAGATTAGGGTTACTGCATTTTTATGCTGTCTAGCTGCAAAAAAAGATGAAACTCTTGTTGGGAAATAAATATCTGAACTGAACTGAAACATTATACACTTTATGCTATTTCACAACAACATGTTATACAAGTTATATATGTTTTTCCTGTTTTTGCATCATACCAGTGGATTTGTTTACAAGACAAGGATGGCTGCAGTTGGCTGCTGTCTTGTGTTTCCCATCAGACTGGGGGTGGCTTTAAATGATTTTAGCATATGGCTGCAATATAACAAAGAATGAAAAATTTAAGGGGGTCTGAATACTTTCCGTACCCACTGTATAATAAACATGCAGCAGTGAGGATATTATTGTTTTATTTTATCCTGTGTTTGACTAAAGAGTTAGTCAAAATACTGAGCGCTACCACTCACACAGATTTTTTGCTGATGGGGCATCTTTTGTATTTTTTTTGCTCTTCCCTGAAATTTTCCATTAAAATGTCCTTGTAACTGTTCAAATCTTCCAGAAGACAAACAATTCCTCCTCAAGTGAATGGCACTGAAGTGGCAACTCAGTCAGCCAAGTTATTTTTTTACCTTCTTTGGAGTGTCAAACCACTGTAATTCGCACTCTGTGGACACCTTAAGTGCATTTTTTCCTCATTAATGTACACACAGCACCCCATATTGACAGAAAAACACAC